TGGGATTTGGGGTTAAGGGTTGAGAGTTTAGGGTTTAGGATTTAGGGTTTAGGGTTTAGGGTTGAGGGTGTAAGGTTTAGGGTTTAGGGTTTAGGGTTAAGGGTTGAGGGTTTAAGGTTTATAGGGTTTAGGGTTACACGGAGCTCTTCGTTATGGGTTCCGCAAGGTAGAGCTGAGGGCGGTTAGGGCTTAGGCTGAGCTCTTGCTTACAAACTAGCTTTATGGCTCTTATGGGTACCTTACAAGGGGTCTAATGTAGGGGCCTCAATAATTAGAATAGAATAGGGTTTTGTGGTATATTATACTATAAACATAAGGCCCGGAGCCCCCAAAATAGGATTGGCTTAGGCCCTTACGTTAGACGGCTTTTTTGTGTGAGGCTTCAGTCATGGCTTTTAGGAGGATCTCTATGAGGCCTCCGAACTCGTTTTTGGGGAGGCTCCTTAAGGGCTCAACCCGCAGGGCTTGTGGGGGCTCAGGGCTTCGAGGTTGAGGGGTTTGGGGGTTTAGGGTTTATATCGGGGTTTAGAAGTTAGGAAGCAATAAGGGTTTAGGGTCTGGGGTTTAGGGTTCTATTGGGGGCTTTGTACTGGTTTCGTGTTAAGGGCACTGCACAGGCTATTATGTGCCGCCCACGGGTTTCATACGGGTTCTGCAGGGACGGGTTTGAGGCTGCTTTAGGGGTTTATAATGTATAGGGTCCTCTCCGGGCTCGTTTCGGTGATTCTATTAGGGTTTAGGGTTTGGGGTTTAGGGTTTAGGGTTTTGGGTTTAAGGTTTCGGATTGTCTGGGTTTAGGCGAAAGGGGTTCAGGGTTGGGTCGGGTGTTTATGCGGGTCTATCGGGCCTTACATGGATTCTATTTGGCCTTGTGGTCTATCAAAACCGAGGAAATCATCTCACGCACTTGCACGCCCCGAACGGTGAATTAAGTTCTTTAACCAGACCCTAAACCCTAAACCTAAACCCTAAACCCTAAACCGTGCCAGACCCAGCGTCGGGCATGATGAAGGTGGAGTCTCGAGCAGCGAAGTCACCCACCAGGCCGCCCGGCACGTTGAAGACCGTCTCCGTTGGCAGGTCGGCCGCAGGAATGGGCGACAGGATCTCCTTTTAGCGGTTTAGAGTTTAGGGTTTAGGGTCTATCGGGGCTACTATAAGGGCTCTAGGATTCGGGGTGGTAAAGGCGTCTACTTCTTTGTTGAATTTCGGGCTTGGGGGATGTAGAGTGTAGATGCAAGGAGAGTAGAATATGGGGGTTTCCGAAAATAGGGGGTACCTTATTCTGGGGTCCTTGTAATAAGGANNTATTTTCAGAAACCCCCATATAGTGTTTAGGATTTCAGGTATAGAACAGGAGGGAAAAGGAGTAGCAGGGCTTAGGGTCTCGGGATCAAGGGTGTAGTGCCTTTAGTATAACTTAAGGAGCGGAGAGTGTAGGGTTTGGGGCTCTGGAACCACGATTTCCTGGTAGGGCAAGCACATGGCGGGATAGTCCGGATCCAAGGAATGCATCCAAGGGCAATCGAAGATTCCGTAGTCAAACAGTTCGCCGTTCATCTTCGCCTTGCCGTCGGTCCTGCGACTGCCAAAGCGTACGCACCAAGAAGCCGAAAAAGAACCAAAACATCCTTCATCAAACCCGAAACCCTACAGTACATCCGAAAAATCTGAAACCGCAACTTAGGTAAATCCCTCCACCCTGGAGTTCCAGACCCTACTGTACACCCTCGATTCATCCCCAGAAAATCAGAACCCTTAAACCCGCGAAGGAAGAATGCACGCTCCCTCTACACCCTGATCAATTGAAGCGTGTAATCGGCCTCAACCCGTTACCCTAAGCTCAAAATAAAGCAAACGCCCGAAATCCATAACCCTAGAAATCCCTCTAAACTCTAAACCCTATAGTATCCCTAAACCCTAAACGAAAAAGAACTCCAAACCCATCGGTCCTGGGGACGTAGGACGTAAGCCCCAAAACCCCCAAAGCCCCCAAACCCC